AAATAATTATAATTAATAATAAAGAATAACAACAATGACATGCGAAGAGCCAGTGCCTGCCTGCGAACCCCAGCTCCTGCTGCAGGCTGGAACCCAAGAGGCAAAGCCAAAACCAAAGGATATATCCTGGTTCCTCGGGTCGGATGCTGTATCCCTCCTCATCCAGCTCGGGTGAGTTCTGGATAAGGAACAAAAAAACCAGGAAAATGAGGAGCATTAATTCCTATGGGAAAGGATGTCCTGCACAGCCCAACCCCCTGGGGCCACACAGAGCAAAGGGCGCCTCACATTCCAGGATTCATTTTGCAGAAAAGCTTTAATCCTTGTTTATAATTCAAACTTTTCTCTGACTAAACTGCATCATCCCGTGGGCCAGGACAGAGCTCTCCAGGGCCACCTCATCCCTGGGAATTCCGGCTGGCCTGAAGGTATGGAACTGGGGTCTGGATTGAGCCGATTTCACCCAAAAAGCCCCAAATGAGTGTGGGAAGTGCCAGGGGTTGCCATGGGATGCAGCTGGAGGCAGGGCAGCTCCAGGGGACACTTACGTATCTGTCCCAGTCGATCTCCGCATAAAATCCATTTGGGGCTCCGTTGGTTTTCTTCTGGAAAGGAAAATTCCCACGGTTCGAAGGGAGGAGGCAGGAGCACAGCACATCCCAGAGATGCTGCTGCTGTTATTCCACACCCACACCAGAAACCCAGCAGCATTCCCCATCTCTGGAACTTTCCCATCCCAGAGAGATGAAAGGAGGGAGTTTTTTGAATATTCCTTAGGTGGGCATCTAAACATTCCTTAGGGAAAATTGAGGAAAGGGCCGTTTCTCCCCGTGCTGGGATCTTCCAGCCCTGGGGGAGCTCCCAATGCCAGTCAAGCAGGAAAACTTGTGGGGAAATATTTCCTGGGGGATAAACCCCCTTCCCCAAGAAAGGGCAACCCCAAGAAGGCTTCAGATCCCGTTATCCCGCGTGCCAGGTGTTGTGAATTGGGGATGGAGCAGTGGGATGAGTCCGTGCCATGAAACACCAACACACACAGGAACTGCTGCTTGGGATGGAGGGAATTCCCAAATTCTGGTTTGGAAGAGGCCCCAGCCATCCACCACCTCTGGCAACCCTTTCCTGGTTGGCTCTGGGCACCCAAACCCATCCAAAGTCCCATGGCCACCACGATTTTGGGCACCTCAATGGGAGAATCCCATGGGATGGTTCCCTTGAGCTTCCAGAGGGACCATTCCCATCCCAGCTCCCTGCCAAGGGTCTGGCAGGATGAACTCCCTGACCCAGGGCTGGATGTAGCCCCTCACCTCGGCACGGAGCAGCTTCCTTGGAAGCTCAGCCGGGGAAAACCTCCTCTGGATTCTGATCTGGGGGAAAACCCACCCTGGATTCTGTTCTGGGGGAAAACC